ACGCTTAACCGACTGCGCCACCCAGGCGCCCCAATTAATTAATTAATTTTAAAAAATCTTAGTTGAGCCTTCCTTCAAACATCTGTAGTTCCCATTCACTGAGGGCTTACTGAGTGCCAGGGGCTTTGTCGTTAGTAGTCACCACGGAAGTGTGGTACCAGCCCTAGTGGCAGTAATAATGACGAAAATAGTTAGGCGTTACTGCCTGGTGCCGTTCTAAGTGCTTTGCCTGTATTATTTCCTCTGATTCTCACACCCTATTAAGTAGATCTTGTTAGTTACTATGCCCAACTGACAGATGAGGAAATTGAAGCAAAGAGAGGTTAAATGACTTGTCCAAGGTCACATCGCTGGTAACTGGAAGTGCTGGTATTCAGACCCAGGACCCCTCTGGCCCAGAGCAGCATTAGCCTCCCCACTGGGACAAGAACACGCATGTGCTCTATAAAGTGTGACGTGCAGGGGCGCCTGGGTGGCGCAGTCGGTTAAGTGTCCGACTTCAGCCAGGTCACGATCTCGCGGTCCGTGGGTTCGAGCCCCCACGTCAGGCTCTGGGCTGATGGCTCGGAGCCTGGAGCCTGTTTCCGATTCTGTGTCTCCCTCTCTCTCTGCCCCTCCCCCGTTCATGCTCTGTCTCTCTCTGTCCCAAAAATAAATAAAAAACGTTGAAAAAAAAATTTTTTTTTTTAAAATAAAATGTGACGTGCAAACACACAAGCGGGGGAGAAGGACTGTACCCCTCTTCGCCGCCCAACAAATGTTGACATGGAAGAGGAAATGCTAAGGCTGCTTGCTCTCCCCACCTCCTGTCCCTCTGGACAGAGGGTCCTACCTGGAGATGCCATGGGTTCTGTCATCCCAGGGTCAGTGCTGCTGCTGGGCTGGGTGGAGTCAGGGATGGGGCCGAGGGGGGAGGCGGAGGGGAAGGGCTCCTTGGTCGGACTGTCCGGCTCCTGCACCTCCTCTGGGCACAGGTAGACTTCGATGGGTCCCTGCGTGCTCTTCAGATATATCTGCAGGTTCTCCTGGAGGAAGAAGAGAAGCCGGGTCATGGCTCTGGGCAGCTGGGCACTGACTCATGGGTCGGGGTGGGGTGTATGGATGGACACCCACGGCTCCTGCCATCCACGTGAGCCAGCGCAACTCCTGAGCTTGGTGCTGACGCCTGCCCTGTCTGACCTGTGGTGGGCATCCGCTCTTGCTGCCTGCCCGGTCCCCAGGTCCCCTTCTTTTAGGGAGAATATCTTGATTTTCCTTTGGGAAGCCACTCCTCTCCAACTCATGTACTTTGGGGGGACAGCACTCCTCCCCACTCCAATGGGTGAGCTTGGGGTACAGGCTGGGAAAGTCACCGTGATGGTGACTGGTTCAGGGTAGCGCACGACTCAGGTCAGTCCAGGAGCATCGGACCCAGGACTCGTGCGGGACTCGTGGGAAA